TTTAATTTTAAACCACAAGAATCTGGCCTTCACTCTTTGGAAAAGAAAAGGAGGAAATGAAAGCTTGATCAGAGAATGGAGGGTAGGGAAAGAGCAGGTGCTCAGACTCAGCCCAAGTCTCCTGGACACACCTTGGGCTTCTGGCGTCACACCACCTCCCATGCCCAGCACCCCTGCCTTCCCACCTCTCAAAGGCCTGCCAAGGGTGTGTCTCCCCAAAACTCTGACAGCTGTCTCCCCAAACTCAGACAACTCTGACTGTCCCTACCATCTACGTGGCAATGAGCCGGCTCCTGACCTTCGTGGGTCAGTCTCTCTAGTCAGTGAGTCCCTGGGAGCTCAGCCCATGTCTCTGCCTCTATCTCTCCGCAGGACTCAGCAAGAAAGGCAGGTGCCCACGCTCCCTCGCCCACCAGAGGACTCAGTCCCATGAGACCTCTCCCCATTTTCCTAACTTCCATGCATTGGCACACGCTGCTCCTCATCCATGCAGGTTCCTTCCTTTCTAGCTCTGCTAGCCAAACGCTATCCATTCCTCAAGGCCCAACATGATGGGGCAGAAACAGCAGTTTGCAAAGCAGAAAGACTTGTGGTTAAATCCTGGCTCTGCCACTTTCTGGCTACTTGACCTGGACAAGTAACTTCCTCCCTCTGAGCCTGTTTCCTCATTTGCAAGATGCCAGGTTGATAACAGCTAACAAATAGGGTAACAATGGTATAAAATGGTGACATTTTAATGAGGGAGATCACAAAGAGAACACACATCCTAAGTCTACATCAATGCATATGAAAACTAAAATGAAATGACCAAATTCCTAGATAGACATAATTTACCAAAAGTGACTTAAAAAAAAAAAAACAGAATACCTGAAGAGCCATTTACTCCATTAAATAAGTTGAATTAGAAGTTTAAAATCCTTCCATAAAGAAAATGACTGAAAAAAATTGTTTCACAGGTAAACTCTACCAACCTTTCAAAGAGTGATCTAATCTAATCTTCCCTGATAAGGGAAAAAGAGAGAAGAGGTCTCAATGATTCATTTTAGAAGATTCATAGAATCTTGAGGTCAAAACTTGAGGTAGTACAAAACAGAAAAAGTACAGGTCCATACCACTCAGGAAGACAGCTTTAAAATCTTGAACAATAAGTATACTAACTCCAGTAACACATAAAAAATAATAATACATCATGACCAAGTTGAATATATTCCAGAAATTTAAGGATAATTTTCATATGAAGAAAATCTAGGCCAGGTGGAATGGCTCACTCCTGTAATCACAGCACTCTGAGAGGCCCAGGTGGATGGATTGCCTGAGCTCAGTTCAAGACCAGCCTAAACAAGAGCGAGACCCCATCTCTACTAAAAATAGAAAAACAAGCCTGGCATTGTGGTAGGCACCTGTAGTCCCAGCTACTCAGAGGCTGAGGCAAGAGAATCACTTAAGCCTAAGAGTTTGAGGTTGCTATGAGCGAGGCTGATGCCCCAGCACTCTATCCAGAGTGACAGAGTGAGACTCCATCACTACAGAAAAAAAGAAAAGAAAATCTAGAAATGTCACTCATCTCATTAACAAAAGAAAAAAATATAATCATCACAACTGCAGAAAAAACATTTGGTAAGTTTTTTTGTTTGTTTGTTTGTTTTCTTGAGACAGAGTCTCACTTTGTCGCCCTCAGTGGAGTGCTGTGACATCACAGCTCACAGCAACCTCAAACTTTTGAGCTTAAGCGATTCCCTTGCCTAAGCCCCCCAAGTAGCTGGAACTACAGATGCCCACCACAACACCTGGCTATTTTTTGTTGTGGTTGTCATTGTTGTTTTGCTGGCCTGGACCAGGTTCGAACCCACCAGCCTCGGTATGTGTGGCTGGTGCCATAACCACTGTGCTACAAGCTCCAAGCCCATTTGCTAAGTTTAATGCCCATTTAAAACAAAACTTCTTAGCAATCTAAAACCTAAAGGGAACTGTGTTAACCTGATAAAAGATTTCTATCAAAAACCCACAGCAAACTTCCTTTTGTGTTTAAATGTTAGAAGCATTTCTTATGACGTCAGGAAACCAAGATAAGGATTCCTACTATAGTCATCTATTCACCAGTCCTGGACATCCCAACCAGTGCTATGCAGAAAAACACGGGGGAAAAGCCTAAGAAATGGAAAAGAAACAACTCTTGGTATTTGGAGATCCCCTGACTCTACTCAGAAAATCTGAAAGATTCTACACACAGATTAGAATTAATAAAGAAGTTTATCAAGAAGTATGACTATAAGATCAATATACACCAAAAATCAACTGCATTTCTCTCTACAAAAACCAGAAATGTAATATTTGACAAGTGTGCCATTTGCAACAGAAGTCAAAAATAATAAAGGACCTGAGGATACAACTAATAAAAGACATAGACGATTTTATGAAGGAAATTACCAAAAGACACTTAAGACCTAAATAAATGGGGTACCATGTATTATGTTCATGGATGGAGAGACAATTTTATAAGATGTCAGTTCTCCTTAAATTGATCTATAGACTTGATACAAATCTATCCAACAGAGTTATTTCAAGAAACTTGAGAAGATGATTCTAAAATCTATAAGAGGGCTGGGCACAGTGGCTCACACCTATAATCCTAACACTCAAGGAGGCCAAGGTAGGTAGATTGTTTGAGCTCAGGTGTTTTGAGACCAGCCTGAGCAAAAGCGAGATCCTGTCTCTAAAAATAGCTGAGCATTGTGGGGGGCACATGGAGACCCAGCTACTTGGGAGGCTGAGGCAAGAGGACCACTTTAGCCCAAGAGTTTGAGGTTACTGTGAGCTCTGATGCCATGGCACTCTACTCAGAGTGACAGATTGAGACTCTGTCTCACAAAAATAAACAAAGCAATAAATAAAATGGGTAAGAAAGATAATTTTTTTAAAATACGCAAGACCTCCACGATGAAGAACAAAGTTAGGAGCGTTTAACGCTTCAGACTTAGATAGCTATACTAGCTAGACAGGGTGGTACTAGAGATAGCACAGAAATCACCAAATTGAACGATGAAAAAGAACAAGGACCCATAAAAACAATCCACGTACATGTGGAAATGGGATATATGATGAGGGTGGCCCAGCAAATCAGTAGTGAAAGCATGAACTATAACAAACAATTCTGGGACAGTTGGTTAAGCCTGTGTAAAAATAAAACCCTTCATTCATACCCACACAAATTCATTCACACAAAAATTGGTTCCAGGCACATAAAGTTTTAAATAGGAAATATAAAGTATCAAAAGTTTTAGAATACAAGTAAAAACTACTTTATGACCTTGGAGAGGGAAGGAATTCTTCAAGAAAACACAAAAAGCAGAACTCACAAAGGAAAAGACGGGTGAATTTACGTCAAAATCAAACTCTGCTGTTCATCCAAAGATCCTAGAAATAAACCCGGGAAAATGAGCCACAAATGGGGAGAAGATATTTGCAATTCACAAGTGACAAATGATTATTATCCTAAATATATAAAGAACTCCTAAAAACCACTAAGAAAGGAACAGAAAACCCAACAGAAAATTAGGTGAAAGACATGAACAGGCATTTTGTGGGAAAAGAGACCTGAATGGCCAATAATGACTTGAAAATACGTTCCACCTCATTAGTAATCAGAGAAATGCAAATTAACACTATAGAGAATCACCATTTTATACAAACTAGTCTGGCAGCAGTGAACAAGGCTGGCAAATTTTGATCTCACTAGAATAGAGCAACAGAAAGTCTTACACACTGCTGCTACAAGAGAAAACAGGAAAGCCACTGTGGAAAGCAACGTGGCCCTGTCTTATTAAGTTGCATACACACATACTCCACAATCAAGCAAGTCTATTTCTAGAACCTCACATGCAGGTGCATCCAGAGATCCACGTACGAATATTCACGGCCAGCCTCATCTGCCATAACAAGAAAACTAGAAACCAGTTGAACGTCCATGGATGGCAGAATGGAGAAGTAAATTGGGACGCAGTTGTAGGATGAAAAACTACACATCAGAGAAAATGACCAACTATAGCAAAACATCCACATGGGTAAATATTAGAAACATGACGTTGTGTTGAACAGTAGAGTGTGGTTTCCTTTTTATACAGCTTGAAAATGACCAAAACTATGTGATGCATTATTTGGGGATATGTGCGCACGTAGTAAATCTCCCCCCAAAAGACACGAAAATTATAAACACAAATTTCAGAGGAATATTTACATCTCAGAGGAGGGCAAGGATTTAGATAGGGAGAAGGCCCGAGAGAATGATCTAATTTACCCGTTCAGTTCACCCATGCTTGTTATATTATTACGACTTCGTGACTTTTATAAATGTTACATATTTTCCTTTATGAAAATCAACAGTAAATAGACTGAAAAGATACGGGATGAATCAATTTATGGCACTATATTCTGTGAATCCAGGCACGGGGCTAAATGATTTGCACACAGTAGCTCATACAGACTTTCGCATCAGTCCTACCATAATGATTGGTGGGAATCTTTATTCCCATTCTGTATATGAGAAAATAGACATCCAGAGAAGTTAAATGACTTTCCCCAAGTCACATAACTAAGAAAGGGAACTGAGAGTCAAGCCTAGGTCTGCGGTGACTGTTTATTGGTCCCTCGGGGCCACTGTGCTCCTGCCTCTTATACAACAGGTGCCCAATTAATGGTGAGGCTGCTGTGATCCCTCTGTTCATGCAGCAGCACCTCCTGCACCTCCTCCTTGACAGCCGCCACATAGGATCTTGCATTCCTCTCTGCCAGCAGAATTCCTCCCAAGCTCCTCCAGTACACAAGACAAAAGACACCCCTGTGCCTTCTCTGCCTGTCCTGTGCTGGGGCTGCACACCATAGGAGCACAGATGCCCACTCATCAGGGGTGCTACAGAACTTATTTGTTTGAGGGCCCCAGAGAATCTTAATCCTGATGGCCCAGATAGAGCCATGAGAAAGGGGTAAAAATGTCAGGCACTCACCCCGGGAGCTGTAGCCGTGGGTGTCCATGAAGGACAGGCCCAGCCTCTCATCCTCCTGCAGGGTGCTCTGGTCTGTGAAGCTCCGGTCCACAGCGCTCATCATGTGGGTCTTCTCCTGGCGGTAATTGACGGTGGCCTTGGTCATGTTCACCGGCTTCCTGCAGAGGGGCATTGATGGGAGACAAGGGCACTGCACGGGGCTGGACAGCACCCAGAAGTGGGTGGGGAGGCCTGGCAGTCAGGGGCCTTGAGGCCAGAGACAAGCAGCTGATCTAGAAGCCTCTCTGGATCCTGAGGGGGCTCTGCCTCCATCTTTTACTCAGCAACTGAGAAAACTGCTGCTCCCCACCCCAAAGAGGGCCCTGCCCTGGGGGCCTTTGCTGAGCACAAAGGATAGAGCAACAGTGACCTCAGGCTGGGGTCCTACCCCAACTCTCACTGGCCTCCAGGGCTCAGGAAATGGGAAGGAAAGTCACTCTGGGCCTAATGTGGTGTCACAGAAGACAGTCACCACCACTGTACCCCAAACTAGGAAGGCGCTGGCCTAGCCCCAGCCCCAACCTATCCCCTCCTCCATCCTCCCCTCCCCCTCGCTCTCCTGAGACCTGCCCTCAGGACTCCTTTTTCTCCTGTAGTAGGGAGGGACTATAGTCCTCTTCTGTGGCTGAGAGTCAGGCTGGTGCTCAGCTAGTACTCAGGACTTTACCCCAGCCACAGAATCAACACCAACCTCGGCTTCTTCTTACTCCAGAGACCCCTGGGATGGTCCCACCATGGACCACCACACACCTATAGAGAGATTCCCCTGGGGGTCCAATGCCTGCCACTGCCCACCAGTTCATCCTGCTGCTGAAAGCTGCAGGGGAGAAAGTGAGAAGCCCCCCTCCCTCCAGGCCCAGCTTCACAGATGAAGGCAGTTTGTGGTTCCAGAGATCTCTGAGGAAAGTGGGAGGGAGAAAAGGAAGGGGGAAAGCAGGGCACAGCTCCATGATTAAGGCCAGAAACAGCCAAAGGGGAAACGACTCGGGACCCCTGTTAAGGCTGGAGAACAGCCCGAGTGGCCCAATCACAGGGAAGGCTCCTGAGGAGAGAGCTATTCACCTGCCTGGCCCTATAGCCTGCAGGATGTGGGGCAGACCTGAGAAAGGACTTCCAGGCTATGAGGGCTCAGGGACGGTAACCATCATGGGGATGAGGAAGCCAATAAAAAGGTCTTCCCAGACAAAGAAACTCCAGTCAGAATATCCCAGAATCAAGAGCTGCCTGGGGCAGGGGAAGGACAGGGTGACCTCTGGTTGCCCCTCATGTCAGGACAGCTGTGTGTGTACACAGTGGCCACTGCTGCTGTGCATGGAGGTGGCACAGCCTGCCCATCCTCCCACTCCCAGCCCTGCCAGACTCCAGGCTTTGCCCTCACTACGGCCCAGGGAAAAGCCAAAGACCCTTTGGGGACAGGTGCAGAGAAACCTCAGTGGCTGTGATCATGACCACCTTGAGATGGAAAAGACTTAAGAGGACACAGGGAGAAGGGAGCAGAGAGAGAGTAAAGGAATAGTAACAAGGAGAGAGAGAAAAAAGGAACAGAAGGGGAGAGAGGGATAGGCCAGACACAGCAGACCACAGGGAAGAGTCAGGGCCAGGACAGATGGCAGCTGGCCAGGCTGGCTGAACATAGAGCCCAAAGATGACCCCCCCAGTGAGTGGATACTGGCCAGAGGGCAGTCCCTAGTGGAGTGCCACAAGGCTCTATTCCAACCCAGGACTCCGGGCCTACTTGGAAGAAGAACCACAGAAATGAAACAACCAGATCCACAGAGGACAGGCCCAGGAGGGACACCTAACACTCTGCTGGTATCCAGCTGATCTCAGTGCAAGATAAAGCAGACAGAATTTAACACAGACACTTTGGAAAGTTCCCCATATAGTTTCAAAAATTAACCACAGGCTGAGTACAGTATCTGATGCCTGTAATCATAACATTTTGGGAGGCTGAGGCAGGAGGATCCTTGAGGCCAGGAATTTAAAACCAGCCTGGGCAACATAGCAACACTCCATGTCTACAAAAAATGTTAAAAAGTAAAAAATTAGCTGGGCATGGTGACACATGCCTGTAGTCCCAGTTACTTGGGAGACAGAGGCAGAAGGATCACTTGAACCCAGGAGTTCAAGATCACAGTGAGCTGTGATAATGCCACTGCACTCTAGCCTGGGTGACAGAGTGAAATCCTGTCTCAAGAAAGAAAGAAAAAAAAAGGAAAAACTGGGCGGGGCTGAAGGAAGGGGAAAGAAGGGAAGGGAAGAGAGAAAAGAAGAAAAGGAAGAAAACAAAGAAATAAAACACACAAAAATTAACAGCACAAGCAGCCAGGAGGGAGAAAGAAGCACCTTGTCAGCAATTCCTAAACACAGCAAGTTGATGGGTATTTACTTGCATGAAAAGCTCGTGTTGAGAAACAAAAGTGTGAGTGGCAGGTCTAGGGTGAGAGGTGGCGGGGTGAGAGACCCACTGTCCTCCTGGCTGCCCAGGTGCCATCTGGGCCCACTCTGCAAAGGAGGGGAAACAAGCACAAGTGTAGGAGGAATGTTCTAGAAAGCCTATAGAGCAGAAGACAGAGAAGCAGTGGCAGGCCATGGAGTCAGCCACAGCCTGGGTTACAAACCCACCTCTGACACATTTTGTAACCTCTGGCAAGCCCCTCAATCTCCCTTAGCCTCAGTTTCCCCATAACAAAAGTGGGAGCGATGATACCCTGCTCCTCAGGGCTATTATGAGGATTCTATGCCAAGAACTGAGCACGGGGCTTGGCCCAAGAAAGAGCCCAGAAGAGCTGGGGCTGTCCAGCTAGAGAAGAGGCTCATGGGGACCTGAGCTGTGGGCCTGCCTGTATGAGAGCCTGGCTCCGTGCATTCATACACACATGTGCAAGCAGGCATGGACTCCACGGGGGAGCCGTGTGAGCATAATCCTGGATGCAGATTTGGTCTGAAATCAGGCCATCCTTCTGACCACCAGGAACAGTACAAGGATGTAAGGGGCTGCCCCCAGTGGTGGAAAGGACACTGAGGCTCAGGGAGGTGACATGGCCTGCCCAGAGAGGCTGTTAGCTAAAAACTTTTCCCATGACCTGACATCTGTAACTGTAACCAAGATAAAATAGTGTAAAAGAGTTTTGAAAGAACGACTGGGGGGGTGGGGGGGGCGTTAGTGCTTTTACAGCTTGAGGCTGCTTAGTTCCCTGCCTACAATTAAATATTCCTTCCTCTGTAGTCTTGGTGCAAGAGTCTATTGGTTTCAATTCACCATTTCCTGCAACAGAGGAGAAGACATGGACACTCAGGGAGGTGACATGGCCTGCCCAGGGAGGCTCAGCAGAGCCAGATCTACCTGTGACTCTGACTATAGAACCAGCACTTGTGATCACGACTTGGGGAGGCAGATGCACAGTGGAGAGACAGAGCAGAGGAGGGAAAATCGGAGGCCACGGTGCCCATGGAGAACGTGGGTGACACTAGGCCAGCCAGGGTGCAGGAGCCCAAGCCTAGCCAGAGGGGGCAGGTGGAGGTTCCACCTGGGAGGGGCCAGGGAGCTACTTACGGGTAGTAGGAGTAGGCATAGTGGTCTCTCCTGGCAGCGTGCAAAGAGAACAGCACAGTGTGTCTGTGGTCCTTCCAGGGCTGGGCTGAGGGCAGTGCCCAGCCTGCAGGGTGGGGCCGGAGAGCCCCCAAGTGTGGGGAGGGGGCTAGCCAGGGACTAGATGGGTCAGAAGGGCCTTCCTGGTCCCACGAACTGGCCAAGCTCAGATGTTGAAGACCAGCACCAAAAGCCCTCCAGAATCTTCCCTGAGCCTGCTGCTGGAGTGAGGAGGAGGTGGGGAAAGGGTCTGGGGGTACACAGAGCTTTCACACAGTCCAACTCATAGGCATATACAGAAAGAAGCACACACATGCACACTCACACATAAACAGATGCACATATAGATACAAACATATACCTATACACGGAGAAATATGCACTGATACACACTCACAAATGCACACATACACAGGTGCAGACACACTCATCCACACATTCACACTGACATGCACTCACACAGACATATATTCACACACACATACATACATACACACAGACATCCCCCCACACACTCATACACTCAAAGGTAACTGCTCTCATTCCCGTAGACAACCCCCACCCCCAGTCCCTGCAGGCCTCTCTGCCTGGAGATAACCCGTTGCATACACCTCCACCCAGGAGAGAGTGCATGGCTGGGGACAGGGAGCGGGCACAGTGGAAAAGACCCCAGCTGAATGCCTGGACAAACCAGGTCATTCCCCTCACAGGGCACTTGAAGCATAAGCTTAGGTCAAGAGCTCTATGTTACCACAAAGCCCACAGTACACAGCACATCTGATTCCCATTTCACAGATGGGAAAGATGAGTCACAGGGAGTCATGTACTACCCTGAGGCCCCATCCTGGCAAATTCCAAGGTCCTCCATGTCACTACCCCCACACCACTCCCTCGACCAGGATTCCAGCAAATGGCCTTCCACAAGAAATCCTGTGGATCAAGGGGAGGAGAGAGGACTGAGGCCCGGCAAGGGCAGGGGATTGACTCAAGGTCACGCAGCACATCTCCATGCAAGGGAAAAAGGGGAGGGTCGGGGCCCTGAGGCTGGTCACAAAGTCCTCAAAGGGGAGTAGAGATGGGGTGTAGAGATGGCTGAAGGGATGACATTCTTCATTCATCTGGTCTCAGCTAAAATGTTAGGACCCTTCAGAAGGGCCTTTGCTGACCTTTCTCCCATAACTACCAGCTACATTAAATACCCTGGGTTCTCTCCGCCTCTGCCCCAACCTTGTTCTTTTTCAAAATTTGTATTTATCCCATCTGTGCTTTTTCTAATTTAATGTCAGGCTGCCCACTAGATAAAAAGTACAAGAGGAAAGGGTCTCTTTTTTGCCCACCATTAGACCCACAAGGCTCAGCACATTATAATCTCTCAATAAATACTTCACTGAATTGAGTAATCAATTCAATGAGTGAAAAAAAAAAAAAATGAAAGAACTTCACCTCCATGAGCTTCTGTTTCCTTCTCTAAAACAATGAGGTTAATAATAATCCCCCCACAGGGACTGCCGTGAGTTTCCAGCAACAGGAAGCCACATGCTTGGCAGGTGCCAACAAGCAGCTCCTTCCTGCCTCCCTGTGCCTGCGGAGCAGCTCCACTGGACTAGACCATGGGGACACACAGCCAACAAGACAGAACTTCATGGAGGTCTTAATCCAGCAGCAAAGACAAACACTGAACAGTGTGAATGTGTGGACGACTAAGTAAACGGAAAAGTGCTGGGGGAATAAAATACTGCAAAGGAGAAAGGTCGGGAGTGGGGTCCTCTGGAAGCAGAACCAGGGGATCTGGCCTGGCCTGGGGAGACCATCCTCCATCTGGGCCCTGGAACTCCCCTACAGCAGGGGCATCCAGTGTGACTGTCTACATGGGCAGGGCAGGATGGAGAATGTGAAACCTCCTCCTAGCTGGCCCCTGTTTCCCATAACCTCCCCCCAACCTCCTCCTGCCTTCAACAAGGCTCCATGAAGGGTGGTAACTATCCTCCTCAGCAACCTCCTCTGCTAGTTACAATCATACCCCAAGTTGATCTGAGCACCCCCATCCCTGCCAGAGCTTCCATCCTCCCCACCATGCAGACTGTGAGAGCCCTGGGGCACAGGGGCCCTAAAGGCCAAGGTAGGATCCAGATGGATCAGTGAGGTGCTACAGAGTGGTACTGAGCCGCTTTTGGAGAAAGGAGGTGCAGGGGGACACAGTGGGAGGGGCCTAGAGGCATCTGGGATAGCCTGGGTTTATGGAGTGGCAACTGCATAATGCATGGTTTCCTAGGGAGGCCCTGACAGCGTTTCTGATCCACCCTCCCCTGGGCCCAACACTCTCCCTACAAGGGTGGGTGACACCCCTAACTCTGCCAATCTCCTTGAGGGTTGATTTCTAGAACTTCAAATGCAACCTGAAACCACCTAAAATCTGACACTTCTCCTTTACAGCTCCCTCCAGCTCCTGCTCTACCCCCAGTGAGAACCACTTCTTAGGCTCCCTGCAGGGACTTGCTACTTTGGGAGCATCTGCTGTGGACCTGAATCAGTGAGGCCTTTACATGTGTAGTGAGGTCTGAGTTCAAATCAGACCCTGCCACTGATCAACACGAGACATGGGCAGGGTGTTTTCATTACCATTTCTGCATCCATAAAAAGGGAGTCAGTCCTGTTTTATGGGTCAGGATCTGAGAAGAAAATGCTTTCTGACATACCCCAAGTTGCAGAATAGTGCTTAGCATGCTGTAGGCACTCAGTAACTAATGCAATAATGGATAATATGTGTAAAGCTCCTGACAGAGAGTAATTACTTATGAAATGATGGTTTAAAATACTCTCTCTCAAAAAAAAAAAAGGAAGAAAATAAATAAAATAAAATACTCGCTCAGCCAACAGTGGTGGCGTACATCCCTAATTCCAACACTTTGGGAGGGCAAGGCAGAAGGATCACTTGAGGCCAGGAATTTAAGACCAGCCTGGGCAACATAGAGAGATTCCAAACTCTAAAAAAAAAAAAAGGGGGGAGTGGCGCGTGTGGCTCAGTGAGTAGGGCACCGACCCCATATACTAAGGGTGGCTGGTTCGAACCCGGCCCCACCCAAACTGCAACAACAACAACAAAAAAAAATAGCCAGGTGTTGTGATGGGCACCTGTAGTCCCAGCTACTCATGAGGCTGAGGCAAGAGAATCGCCTAAGCCCAAGAGCTGGAGGTTGCTATGAGCTGTGACACCATAGCACTCTACCGAGGGTGATAAAGTGAGACTTTGTCTCTAAATAAATAAATAAATAAATAAAATAAGAAAAACTAGTCAGGTCTGGTGGTGCACACCTGTAGTCCCAGCTACTCGGGAGGCCACAGCAGGAGAATTGCTTGAGGATAGGAGTTTGAGGCTATAGTAAATCATAATTGCCCCACTAAACTCCAGCCTGATCAACTGAATAAGACTTATCTCTAAAAAATAAGACAAAATAAAATAAAACATTCTCTCATAAAGCTGTGCAGGGACTAGGGAAGGGAAAAATCAGAGCCTAATGCCCTAGATAAGCCATCTCACCATAGCTCCCCACTCTGGGCACACCAGACCCCTAATCTCTCTTTCCTGGTGATGCCTGGCCTCAAGCAAGGGGGCCTTAGCCAGCTCACTCTCATCTTCCTGGGTCCTACTTATCTGCTCCCAGCAGCCTCGAAATCCAGTGCCAACTTACCCATGTGTGCCCAGCTTGGCAGCCACAGGGGCTCCAGAAGCCAGAGACCAGGTGGGGAGGGGCAGAGGTGGCTCTGCCCCTGGCTTCCTGGGTGACCTTGGGCAGGTCCCTCTAGGCCTCAGCATCTTTTGTTTAGTTAAGGTGCTTGGACCACAGGGTCCTGGGCTGTCTGGTGGGAATAAGGTGAGGGTAGGCTGGCAGGCAGAGGGGTCTCAGAAGCCCCCATCTTGCCTCCAACCAGAGCTGCTGCTCAACTGTCATCTGTTCCGGGTACTGGGATCCCAGGGGAAGAATTTTTAGCATTTTGAAGACAAGTTCTTTTCCTTTAAAAAGATTTGAAAAATCACTAGACTAGATGGCCTTGAACTACCTAGCAGCTCTCATGTTCTGTAGTTCTAAGCCTCTACAATTCTAAAGTCTGAGATTCTTAGGATCCCAAATCCTAGATTTCTGAAACTGCAAGATTCTAAGTTATGAATTCTAAGCTGTATTAGGATTCATCCAACACTCCACAAAATACACTAGGAAACACATCCTGTGCAAACATAAAGCTGGACCTTTGAGATATGAGGGATAATAGGAACAGGAAAGGGGTTTTCTCTCAGTCACAGGAGTAGGAGGGCTCCTCAGGGATCTACAGTAACAGGGCCCACAGCATGCTGAGCCCAAGAGAGTGAGGCCCAGAAAGAGCCATGATCAGGGCCCTGGTTTGAAGAAGAGTGAGCACCACTCTCTGCTCAAGATCAGATGCAGACCCGATGCCCAGGCCAGGTAGCTGCCCCACCAACCCCCAGCCAACACTTCCTGGTGCCCACCAGGCTTCTAAGGGGCAGGAGCCACTGGTGGGCCAGGGCACCAGCCTCACTCACCCTTTGCGGATGATGACAATGATGGCCCCCAGGAGGAGGATGAGGACAGCAAGGCCCCCTGCACAGATGCCCAGAATAAGCCCCATCTCCTCTGATCTCTGGGACACCTCCAGGGGCCGCTTGCTTTCCTTGCAGGCAGCTGGGAGAACAAAGCAGGGCAAAGGATTACAGGGGAGACAGGGACCACCAAGCCCCTCCCAAAGGGGTCTGTGCCCCAAGGGACAAACTGGGCTGCACAAACACATGTCCACAAAGATAACTACCCCTTATCCACATGTCTGCTGCCTCTCCATCAGATCTCCCTGCTCACCATGCCCCATACCTCCCACACTTCCATGTCAAAGTCATCGCTTATACTGCTCCCCTGTCAGAAATAGGTTTCCTCTACTCTCCACTTTCCCAAATCCTCCCCAGCCCTCAGTGGAAAGGGAGGAAGACACCTGAGGCCTTCAGACCCACCCTCTTGCCTTCCTGGGATGTGACAGAGAGAAAGAATTATGAGCCTCAGTATAGCTAGGCCATTTCAGCACAGGAAACCAACTCCAGCTGCTGTCTGCAACAGGGATACTCCCTGCTCCACAGGGTCCATGCTGACCTCACCTCTCTCCCCACCACAGGAAAGGGGAGCAGATACAGAACCCCAGAACCAGCACCCCAAGGCCCAACTGTGATGGGTCCCTCCACAGGCCTGTCCCAGGTCCCTGTAGGCCTCTTCTGTGATGGCGGGGAGAGCTGGGGATGGTGGACCCTGCTGCTAGCCTGAGAGAAGGAGCCCTTGAGGTGGGGCACATAGGGGTAGAGAAGAGAAGCCCTCCCAGACGCCAGGCCTGCCCAACTGCCTTTCTCTGCCCCAGGTCCTCATGATCGCCTCACCAGCCTCACCAGCCTCACCAGACAGAGCTGGACAGGTGAGAAATCTGCCGCTGAAGCATGAAAAAACCCAGTGGGACTTACCTTTCCTGGCGATGCGGATGCAATTCAGCCGAGTCTCCTGGAGGCACAGATGGGGGTCTCAGGGCAGCTGAAGCCTGACCTCACCCTCCCCAGGGCAGGAACTTCAGGCAGTGTTTCTTTGACCTGATCAGGGCTTTATCTGGTACGGTGCATAGCTAAGAAGGCCCCACCCAGCAGGAGGACCCGGACACAACCCAGGGGAAAGAGGTGGGGTGTCAGAAATGAGGGCGTGGCCTCGGTCTGGAGATGGGTTAGGAAGGAGCCAGGGAAGGAGAGGCGCAGGAGGGAGGAGCGTGGAGGACAGGGCGGGACTTCAGAGAGGCCCTCTGGGAAAAGGTGCCAGAGATAGAAGGCAGCCTCAGGAACGAGTAGGAACTAGACTGGACTCTCGGTAGAGAAGAGCCTAGGAAAGAGGTCTCAGGAAGTGGACAGTGTCCTATGGGCCGTGGCCTGAGGTCAGGCGGGCGCGGCTATGGGAGGGCAAGGTTGTGGGAGGGGCTTAGCAGTGGGGGTGGGTTATGTTAAGACGGGGCTATAGGATGGTGAGGTAACGGGATGGCAAGGCATTGGAGAGGTCAGGTTATGGGAAGGCGTGGCCTGGGAGAAGCTGGTTTATAGGAGGGAGTCTAACAGTGGGAGGGTGGGGTTGTGGGAGGGGCAGGGATATGGGAGGAGTGAGGCATAGGGGTCCCCTCCCCAATCCCTTGGGTCACCCCACCCAAGGTATCCCCAGCCTGCCATCCCCCACCCTCAGCCACTCCCTCCACAACCGTAGCCAGACCCTCACCCCCTTCAGGTGGCTTGTCGCCTGGAAGTAAATGAGGTAGGCTTTCCTGGGCTCAAGTGGTGGGTTCCAGAAGCCTCGATATGTCTGATTGTCACCCACAGTGAAGGGCATGGCCTCAGGCAGACTGCTGGCCGCCAGTTCAGCCCCAAAGTAATGCACCAAGCCTCGGGCCAGCGCCGCCTCAAAGGTCAGTGGCACTGGGAAGCAGTCCTGGCCACCTGGCTCCCGACGCAGCCGCCTCGGCCGCTCCTCCTCCACAATCACCTGGTACACACTAGGAAGGAGGGAAGAGTGCAGGTGAGCACAGGCGATCAGAGGATGGGAGGGCTTTGGGCTCAAGCCCACCTGAGGACTAATGTCCACTCTGCCCCTTACCAACTTAGCAAGTCACTTAACCTCTCTGGGCCTCAGTTTCCTTCTCTATAAAATGGGAGTGATCACAGGATTATTCCATGAGGTAGATGTGAAGAACAAGCAAGTTTAGCAAGCAGCCAGCCCGTTGTCAGCTGCTATTCCTGTTACTAAGCAAGGCTGAGAGAATTGTGGGCCTGTTCAGTGGAATCAAGCCAGGAGGCCCCACTCTGCCTCTTCGATGAGTCCTGTGTGCAACACAAGACCTTGGAAACCAAAGCCACTCCACAGCTCCCTTTAGCCTCAACAAATTACAACGTTACCAAATTCATTCGTTCATTCATTCACTCAAAAAGAGTCTACTCAGCTCAGATGATGAACCTTGGACTCCTGGAACTGACTTCTAGTGGGAGAAACAGTCACTTAGCAAATAAGGACACACATCATGGCTCAGCGCCTGTAGCACAGTTGTTACGGTGCCATCCACATACACCAAGGGTGGGAGTTCAAATCCAGCATAGGCCAGCTAATTAACTGCAACAAAAAAATAGCCGGGCGTTGTGGCGAAGTCCCAGCTACTTGGGAGGCTAAGGTAAGAGAATCACTTAAGCCCAAGAGTTAGAGGTTGCTGTGAGCTGTGACACCACAGCACTCTACCAAGGGCGACATTGTGAGACTGTCTAAAAAAAAAAAAAAAAAAAGGACACACCTCACACCACATCTCTAACATCCTATCAACCCCGAGACAGCCTCTGGTCTTGAAATTGGAACCCTGTTTTCTCTGGGGTTCTCTGACTGTCCCTCTGATTTGTGTTCCAAATACTGATTTGTCTGTATTTCTGTTTATTTTGTCACTTTACTGAACAAGCTTTTGCTGTGAGTTCCTCCAAATCCTCTATGGAACAAAGCCAAGAATAAACACATGAAGGCTGAAAAATTTAAATATTTCCAGTCACAGCCCCAGTCACATCTCAGTGTGTGACATCCTATACTGACAGCCTTTGCTCTGGGAAGCCAAAATGCCTGTTCCTGGCTCTCCAGATGTTTCTTTTGAGGTTCCAAGTTGCGGGGAATCATTTTAGAGTATTGGTCACCAGCCCATTCCTTGTCACTAGCTCATTATAAACACAGTCCAATCTCCTCTCAGCCTCCATTTCTCCAGGCTGAGGTCAGGCCTCTCCCTACCCTAAATCCCAAGAGATAACAATTATAACATTAGACATTAACAAAGTATATCTTAATCTACAACAAGCCTCATTATGTGAGTAAGGAAATGAGGGTCAGAAAGGGGGGGACATGACCAGGGTCACATAGCCATCCTGTTCTCCTACCATGTCCCTACCCTATCCCCATTCAGCTTTGTCATCATCATCCCTGAGGGACCCTGATTAGTCCTTCTCACAAGACCCCTCAAGAGGACAAAGAAGGGTCTCCCAAATCTTCCCAGATCCAGCCACACTAGGGCCCTGTGACTGCAGCAAAAGGCAAGATGTCCCGTGGATGTCCTAACTTTTTCCTGAGTCTCCCCTGAAGATCAGGGAACCCGCCCAGGACAGAATTTGCAGTGGTAAACAGTGGGGAGACAAAGCAGAAGAGAAAAAGGGGCAATGAAATGGGGGCAGGGAGGTGAGGGACTGCCAAGGGCACCAGGGCCACCCACTACCTTCTTGGGAGGGTTGAGTAGGACCCTCACAGCACCACCCACCCAAAAGCTGTCACCTTCTCCCAGTGCATGTACCTTTGTGCAAGGAAGGGGTAGACCAGAGAAGCAGGAAGGCTCTCTGACTTCTAGAAAAGGCTTAGGCTTTGCAGACAGACCTGGGTTCCAAATCCTACCTCTATCACTTACTAGGGGTGTGGCCTTGGGGGCAGGTGGTTTAGGCTCTCTGAGTCAGTTTCCTGACGCATAAAATGAGGGTAATAATGTTCACTCCACGAGTATAAAATGACTTCATGCAGATCAAGCCCCAAGCATAGTGTCAGGCTAACAGTGTGTGCACATACTTGCATAAGAACCCTCACACTCACACACACTCATCTTTTCCACGCACCTCACACACACTCACACCTTTATACCACACATTGAACACATTTCATATGTATTTTTTTGGGGGGGCGGGGGGACAAGTCTCAAGCTGTTGCTGTTGCCCTGGGTAGAAAGCCATGGTCTCACAGCTCACATCAACCTCCAACTCCTGGGCTTAAGCGATTCTCTTGCCTCAGCCTCCCAAGTAGCTGGGACTACAGGCGCCCACCACACTGCCCAGATATTTTGTTGTTGTTGTTGTTGCAGCTGTCATTGTTGTTTTAGCTGGCCTGGGCTGGGTTTGAACCCTCCAGCCTTGGTGTATGTGGTCAGTACCCTACCCACTGAGCTGTGGGTGCCGCCACCTCACATGTCTGTATCACAAAAGCACACCCGCTCACATCCCACACATGTACCCCACACAGACACACACCATCTTGTCTCCAGCACCTTCTTCTCCCCAGCAGAGACAGCCACCAAGGCATCAGCAGCCTGACTTCCTCTAAGGAGGAGGCAGAGAAGGCAAGCTTTTGGCCACTCCACAGAGACAGCCCTATCTGGCCAGCTGCCCCAGCCGTCTAGAAAGACTTTCCCTGTATCTGCAGAAAAAGTATTGGAAAGAAATAAGGCCCACTTCTCTGAGGTGCCTGAGGGAGGGCCCTCTAGAGAGGCCTGGACAATCCTCTCTCCAGCTGGGACCCTATCCAGAGACCTCACGACAGTCACCATGTGAGACCATGGCCTCAGAGGGGAGTGACTCCAGGTTTCCTGCCTACCCGGAACCATAGATTATCCCCTTCCAGACAGTCCCTGTGAGGGACACGGAGAAAGGATAAGGATGAGCGTGCCTGGGTGAGGGATGTAGCCCTGGCCTCCCACCCCCTCGGCCTGGGATTTCCCACCTGATGGGTGCACCGCGGCCCTGTGCCGGCCTCAGCAACACGGTGATGGTGTCCTCTGACTCGCCCAGGGGTGACGGCATGTCAGCATAATCGAAGCTGGGGGCTGAGGATAAGGGACAGGGACGTGAGCATGGAGCTTGGCTACTAAACCAGGAAAGGCAGGCCTCCGGCCTTCAGGACCAATGTCCTCAGATCTCTTCCCCTTCAGCCTCTTTGCTGGCCCCTGGCCTGGGACACTGACCCCAACCTGAATCCTCTGATTCTACTGACCATAGTCTCCCAACCTCTCTGACTTAATCCTCCCTGACCCCTGACTCCAATCCCTAAATGGCACATACATCTCAACAGGGGACCTCTGTAACCCACCTAGGTGCCCCCTGTTCCCCTCTGCCCACAGAAGCCTGGGATTCTGAGCCATCTCCAAAGGGGCCAAGCCAGGATTGGGCAGGGCTCACCTGAGATGTTGGTGGTGATCTCAGTGAGCGCTGCCTGGCCAAAGCCTTTGCTTGTGCGGGCCCGCACAGAGAACAGGTAGGTGGTGCCTGGGTGCAGGTTGGAGAAGACATGGTAGGTCTCGTTTCGGAGCTTGGAGATGGTACGTCGTGGGCCCGGCACGTTCACCGCCGGGTCTGACGACTCGATGCTCTGGTAGCTGATCTGGGGGCAGGATGGGCAGGCAGGCAGGCACCGGGATGGGGCAGAGCATCACTGCCTGCCCACCAGAGCAGCCTCCCACCCAACCATATGCCAGAGAAGCCAGGGATGAGGCTGGGCAAAGGGGACCATGGATCCATCAGGCCAAACTTCTGGACACCTTTGTCTCTCCCTCCTGCCTTCAGGACCCCCTTCCCCATAACCCACAAGGCACTGACCCTGGCCATAGTTGAAGGAACTGTGACAATCACCTGTCTTCACCATGCACCTCCCTCTCTATGCTACTGCAGCAGAAGAAAAGAAGACCAGCCTCTCACCTTCCACCAGGGGCCCCCACTGTAATAGCATCTCACACCCACCTCATACTGAGTGATGAGGCCGTTGGGTTCCTGGGGCTCCTCCCACTTAAGAAAGATCATGTCCTCCAGTGGAGTGAATGTCAGAGACTCGGCTGCAATTCCGCCAGGCACTAGGAGAGAAAAGGTGGCAGGTAGCCAGACGTTGTGGCAGGCACCTGTAGTCCCAGCTACTGGGAGGCTTAGGCAAGACAATCACTTAAGCCCAAGAAGTTGAGGTTGCTGTGAGCTGTGATGCCACAGTACTCTACTGAGGGTGACAAAGGGAGATTCTGTCTTAAAAAAAAGAAAGAAAGAAAGAAAAGAAAGAAAAAGAAAAGAAAAGAAAAGAAAGGCGGCAGGGGCAGAGGAATGTGGGCTTGGCACCAGATACCTGGATTCAAACTCTAGCCTTGCCACTTCCTATGTGGTTCAGTTGGACTACTCAACCTCCCTAAACCTCAGTTTCCTCATCTGTGAAATGGGGCTGACATAATACCTCCCTCACCAGTACTAAATGATGTAATGTACTTAAAGCCCCAAAGCAAACACTAGCAATTTCATGTGATTCAACCTATTACTGAGTACTCAAACAAGGGGAGTTGGCATTTTCATCACTGTTCAGGTTGCATTCAACAGAGAAAAATGTTTGAAGGCTCCATTTTGTTTCAGTTGGGTGCTTTCAGAAAATACAGACATCTGCCAGAGAAATGAACATAACAATTGCATTAGGGTATCGGAATTACAGGTAGAGATGTTTCCTTGTCAAAAAAAAAAACTTACTGACATGAACTATAGCTGTTTTCTTGTCTCGAAAATTTTAATGACTTATGTCATGACTATATGTTCAATGTAAAAAATTTTAAATGAGCATGAAGAAAATTAATAGCACCTACAATTTTATCATCCAGGGGTAAAGACCATTAACGTTTTAGCATAAACACTTTCAGGCATAGTTTGGTTTGGTTTTGATTTGAATGTATACTCCTAAGAGCAAGGAGAGGAATTTCACCTGGGAAGAGAATGGTCTTTGGGAAAACACATTATAAAAACATTGCAAGGAAGCAGAAGCCAGTATTCACAGGTGCCCGCTCTGCCCACAGAAGAAACCAAGATAACAATCAATGAAAGTGAAGCTGCTTCTGTGTTAAACGATTTACAAGGCCATACCACTGTTGTATCCACCCATCCATCTATTCTGCTAGTGAGAGTGTAAATTGATACAACCACTTTGGAAAACTGTCTGCCTGTATCTACTAAAAATGAACACATATCCTATAACCTAGAATTTCTACTCCTAGGCATATCTATACAAAATGTGTAATATATGGCTAGGCACCTGAGGCTCAAGTGGCTAAGGTGCCAGCCACATACACCTAAGGTGGTGGGTTCAAATCCAGCCTGGGCCCATCAAATAACAATGATGGCTGCAACCAAAAAAAATAGCCAGGCGTTGTGGCAGGCGCCTGTGGTCCCAGCTACTTGGGAGGTGGAGGTAGGAGACTCACTTGAGCCCAGGAGTTGGAGGTTGCTGTGAGCTGTGATGCCACAGCACTCTGCCCAGGGGGATAGCTTGAGGCTCTGTCTCAAAAAAAAAAAAAAATTATAATATCCACCAAGGGGAAAAAATCTACAAGAATTTTATTTGCAGCTTTATTCAAAATGGCAAGAACCTGGAAATAAGCTAAATGCCTACCAACAGTAAATAGGATAAATAAATGTGGTATATTCCCATAATGGACTCTACAGCAATGAGAATGTTCTCTGGGACTGCACAGACAATATGGTTGAGTCTCTCAAGCATGAAGTTGACAGAAGGAAGCCATCCATCCAAAGAATACTCACCATATGATTCTGTTTATATAAAGTCCAAAACCAAGGAAAAATTAATCTATGGTGTTACAGGTCAGGAAAATGTTTACACTTGAGAGGTAGTAACTGGGAGGGGATATTGGGGAAGAAGGCATTTCTGGGGCGCTAGAAATGTTATTTCTGGGTCTGGATATGGGTTATCCCGACATGTCCAGTTTATGTGAATTCATCAGGCTGACTGCTTAAGGCAGGCACATGATGAAAAGTAAAAGAATATTAAATAATGAGTAGTTAATGGAGAAGAGGGGAAGAGAAAGAATACCAAGCAGCCCAAGTGAGGACTGGCTCTGTTCCTTAAAAATCAAGCAATATAATTCTAAATAATATTTGAGTCAAAGAAGAAATCATAATAGATATCAAAAACTATTTTGTTTTTGGTTTTTGTCTTTTTTTTTTTTTTTTTTTTTTTTTTGAGACAGAGTCTCAAGCTTTTGCCCTGGGTACAGTGCTATGACATCCTATCTCACAGCAACCTCCAACTCTTAGGCTCAATAGATCTTTCTGTCTCAGTTTTTCTACTTTTAGTAGAGATGGGGGTCTCGCTTTTTTGCTCAGGCTGGTCTTGAACTCGTGAGCTCAAGGTGTCCATCCACCTCAGCCCCCCAGAGAGCTAGTATTACAGGCATGAGCCACTGCGCCCAGCCTCAAAAAATATTTTGAATTGAATGATAATGAAGATATGACATAGCAAAGCTCATATGCAGCTAAAGCAGGATTTAGAGGGAAAGGTATAGATTTAAATGCATATATTAGAAATGAAGAATGGCTCAAAATTAATGATCTAAGAAACTTCCATCTCAAAAAGCTAAAAGAATAGTAAATCAAATCCAAAGAAAGTATAAAAAGGAAAAACAGAATAAAAAATAAATATACAATAAAGAAAATCAACAAGTAAGCCAACAGTTGGCTCTTTGAAAAATTAATAAAATTGGTGGTGCCCATAGCTCAGTGGGTAGGGCACCAGCCACATACACCCAGGCTGGTGGGTTTGAACCTAGTCCAGGCCAGCTAAACAACAATGACAACCACAACAAAAAAATATCTGGGCATTGTGGTGAGCCCCTGTAGTTCCAGCTACTCGGGAAGCCGAGGCAAGAGAATCACTTAAGCCCAAGAGTTTGAGGTTGCTGTGAGCTGTGACACCATAGCACTTTACCGAGGGCGACATAAGAAGATTCTGTCTCAAAAAAAAAAAAAGAAAGAAAAATTAATAAAATTTATATACCCCTAGCAAGAGTGAACAAGAAAAAACAAAACAAATTATCAATATCAGAAATGAAAAGGATATCATACCTATAGATCATTATACATACTAAATAAATGATAAAAGAATATTATAAACAACTTTAGGTCGAGAAATTTAACAGTTTAAGTGAAACAAACCAATTCCTTAAAAAAAGAGTCCATCAAAACTGATACAAGGATAGAAAATCTGAATAGTCTAATATCTGTTTCAAAAATTAAACGTTAAAACTGTTCTTCAAAACCTTGAATCTGAAAATCGGAATAGTCTAATATCTGTTTTAAAAATTAAACATTAAAACTGTTATTCAAAACCTTGCCACAAAGAAAACTCCATGCCCAAGTGGCTTCATCACTGAATTCCTCCAAACACTTAAGGAAGGAATTACCAAAATCTTCCAGAGAATAAATATTAGCTATCATAACTTTGTTGTTATGCAGATGGTTTAATCCTAAGCAAAGCAAAACCAAAAAATACCCTACATAAATTTCAGCTTCAGACATGGGGTATTTATGGGAGGCACTGGGGACAGGGGAAGCAGAGCTGGGACTCTTACCATCCTCATCCGTCTGGAAGGTGACCTCCTTGCCCTCCTTACGCCCCTCAGGGTTAGTGAGGACGAGCCGCACGTGAACATTCCGATAGGGCAGCAGGTTCTTGATGGTGTAGCGGCTGGCACCCGGCTCCGTCTTCACGCACTCCCGGATGGTCTGGTTGTGGCTGCTGCCCGGAGTGTAGTGATAGCACAGGGACACAGTGTAGGTGTGGCAACGCGTCACGTTGTAGCCCAGCGGTTCCCACTGCAGGGTCAGCTGGCGGGCCTGGATCTCAGCGAAGGCCAGGCCTTTGGGGGCCCTCATGGGTTCTAGGAAATCCCAGAAGAGAGAGAAGAAGGCAGAGGAAGTGAGAAGGGAAGAGAATCATGGAGAGAAAGCATCAGTCAGCCTGCAATCATCCCTCCTTGGCCCCCAAGAGTTCAAGAGACCACAGGGAATACAAATGTGTGTGCTGGTGTCAGACAGGCCTCATTTGAAGCCAGGCTCTGCTGCTTTGCAGTTGGCAATGGCTTAATCACTCAGCTCTCAGAGCCTTAGTTTCTTCAACTGCCAAATGGAAAAATAACAGGCCTTACCTGACAGGATCATTGTGAGGTTTAAGGTACAACACATAAAGCACGAGTGACAAAATAAGCCCTCACAAATGTTAGCTATATCTTTGTATTTTTTTTAATTTTTCTTTTTTCAGATTAAGATGAGGTTTTAAATGATTAGATTACATTGTTTATGTTGTTAGGTAAGGTCCCTATTGTAGTTACGCAGCTATGATTTTTTTTTTTTTTAAGAAACAGAGCCTCACTTTGTTGCCCTTGGTAGAGTGCTGTAGCGTCACAGCTCACAGCAACCTCCAGCTCTTGGGCTTAGGCAATTCTCTTGGCTCAGCCTCCCGAGCAGCTGGGACTACAGGCGCCCGCCACAATGCCTGGCTATTTTTTTGTTGCAATTTGGCCAGGGCCAGGTTCGAACCCACCACCCTCAGTATATGGGGCTGGCACCCTACTCACTGAGCCACAGGCGCCGCCCCCAGCTATGATTATTTTTAACAGCACAGTTCATCTCTCAATTCAAGACCATCCTGGACTATATAAGGCCAATCTGAATCACCTGTCACTATACTTTCTTAATTTATTAATTCCAAGCTTATTCTAAAACAACTTACAGTACTACATATGATATAATGGTTGATAGAAATCAGGATGATGGGAGAAATGAAAGTCAAATGGTTAAATAAATCAGAGAATGATAGGGAAACAGAGACAGAAATACATGCCATCAGGTCATACATGGGAGTCTAAAGATAAAGTACAAATTCAGTGGTTCCCTGGCTGCCAGAGCAAAAAGGGAAATACAATCTGTTATATAATGATAATAGTAATAAGGGCAATTAACATTTCTTGAGGACTTTGGATGTGTCAGGCATCATTCTAGAGCCTTTAAAATGCTATATCTCATTTAATCCTTGCTATAATCCAGTAGAATAGTTGCTGTTATCAGCCCTGTCATACAGAAGTAGAAACAAAGGCACAGAGAGATCAACTTGCTGACAGTCACACAGACAGTAAGTGGTGAAAGAGCCAAACCTGGACAGGCTGGCTCTGGAATCCATGCTCTCAAATACCATTAACTACCCTGACTTCCCCTAAGGAATTCACTGTCAAAAAGAAAAAATCAGACTTAGGCCTCAGGAGAGAGGGCCACCCCAAAGGGAGGGAGGAGCATGTTGTTACCCGTTACAGCATCTCGATGACTTCAGGAAGTCATCCCCATTTTATAAAATAAATAAGCAAACATAGCTTCTGAAGCAAAGCCAGGATGGAGCCCAGGGACTCAGCCCTCAGTCCTGCATCTGCACCGACCAGCTGTGTGATCTTAAGCAAATCTCTGGGTCTCAATTTCCACATGAGGAAAGAAGCCAACATTATTTCTAATGATCCCTTTTCTCTCTTGCACCCTGATCCTCTGAAATGCAGTTTCTCACACGTCCCTGCAAAGTGTCCCCAGTTAGAGGACTCCAGGATTTTTTCATGAACTGGCGAGAAAGTACTGCTACAAAGCCTCCTAAGAAGATTATGTATGACACCAGCACCATTTTTTATATGATCAGTTTTCTCAGAATCTCCCTTCTAATGAAGGCACAAAGGGAAATTATCAGCCAGGGCTGCTCCTAACTAGGGAGCACACAGGTGACTAGTTTTAGACACCAGGCCCAAGTATAGCACAATGTAAGTTTCTGTTTCCCCACAGGAGTTTCCCTTTCTTCCATGGACTACAGGCAAGTCATGTCTCCTGTCATATGTCAAGCTATCAGAGAGACAGCCAGCACTCGCTAGGAACACAGCCTGCCTCCTGACTGCTCCCTTCCCCCCACGAGCAAGGCCCACCCAAGTTCTATCCCACAGGGACACTGAAGGGCTGGCCACCACTGCTCACTGCAGCCTGAAGGCTGCAGGCTATAAACCCAGTCACCACACTGATGACTTCTCTATCATTCCCACAGAGATTTTCCTAAATTTTTTTAACGTAGTAGTTTCATTTAAAGCCATTGTTCTTACATGTGCAGAGTGGAAAGGGAGATTTTTGTGTGCTCACTTACCACCTCGCTCAGAGGTCCTCTCTTTATCCTCAACTCTCTGGCTCTGGTCCTGGCTGCCCCACACATACTGTCCCAGGGTGTCTATAGGAGCCAAGGTAACCTGCCTTATTTGCAGTAGTGAGAGTAGTCATGGTCCCTGCCGCTCTGCTCACCCCATCCCCATCCCCTGGAATGCAGCCCTGCATTCCTTTCCGTCCCTCCAGGCCTGGCAGAAGCACTCTGCTTCCTCTCCCTCCTGCAGCCTTTAGAGGAGGGCAGGAAAAGTTCAGTGTAACTGAGGACACAGACTGGATGGACACTCTGGCACACAGGACAGTAGGTGCCCCAGCTCAGCTCTAGGCGATTTGTCACCACACAGGACTACAGGCTTGGGGTTGCTAGAAACTCCCATTTTTTCAAGTGAAGCCAAAAATTCAGATTTTTACATGAAACCTCCAGATGTGTGAATACTGGCAACCTACTCAAGTTTCTTAAAACCACCTTGCATGGCCAGACACAGTGGCTTATACCTATAATCCCAGCACTTTGAGAGGCAAAGGAGAGAGGATTGCTTGAGCCCAGGTATTTGTATTTCTCTACAGAAAATACAAAAATTAACCAGGTACAGTGGCACATGCCTGTACTTACAGCTACCAGGGAGGCCAACCCAAAAGGATCATGTGAACCAGGAGTTTGAGGGTGCAGTGATCTATGATCAGGTCACTGTACTCCAGGCTGGGTGATGGAGCCAGATGTTGTCTCAAAAAACCAAAACCAAAAACAAACAAATGTCATGGAAGAAGCCCAAGTGTCCATTGACCCATGAATGGATCAATAAATTGTGGTAGATGTACACCATGGAATATTATGCAGCCTTAAAGAAAGATGGAGACTTTACCTCCTTCATGTTTACATGGATAAAGCTGGAACATATTCTTCATAGCAAAGTATCTCAAGAATGGAAGAAAAAGTATCCAATGTATTCAGCCCTACTATGAAACTAGTTTATAGCTTTCATACGAAAGCTATAGCCCAATTATAGTCCAAGAATATGGGGACGGGGGAGAGGGAAGGGAGGGGAGGGGAGAGGATGAGTGGTGGGAGGGTGATTGGTGGGACCACACCCATGGTCCATCTTACAAGGGTACATGTGACTTTCTAAATGCAGAATAACACAATAACTAAGAAAATGCCATGAAGGCTATGTTAACCAGTTTGGTGAAAATATTTCAAATTGTATATAAAACCAGCACA